AAAAAAAAAAAAAAACATAACAAACAAAAAAAACAACAAACTAGCAGGCCATTGTGGAGCATGCCTGTGGTCCTAGTTACCTGGGAGGCTGAGGCAGAAGGTTTGTTTGAACCAGGAGTTGGAGGCTGCAGTGAGCTATAATCGCACCACTGCACTCCAACAAAGTAACAGAACAAGACTCTGTCTCTAAAAATGAAACAGATAAATCCTAACCTAACCTTCCAAAGAACAGCAAACAAAACAAAGCAAGCAGAAGGATGGAAATAACACAAGTTGGGTCGAAACTATTAGGTAAAGGACAGAATAATAGAGAAAAATCAATGAAACCAAAAGCTGGTTCTTTGAAAACATCAACGAAATTGACAAACTTTTAGCTGCACTGACCAAAAAAAGAGAGAAAAGACTCAAATTACTAAAATCAAGAATGAAAGAGGGAACATTACTACTGACTTTATGGAAATAAAAAGTAGTATAAGGAAACCCTTTGAGCAACTCTATGTCAACAAGTTAGATAACTTAGATGAAATAAGCAAATTCCTAGAAAGATAAACTACAAAAACTCACTCAAGAAGAAAATCTAGGCCGGGCACGGTGGCTCACGCCTGTAATCCCAGCACTTTGGGAGGCCGAGTCGGGCGGATCACGAGGTCAGGAGATCGAGACCATACTGGCTAACACAGTGAAACCCCGTCTCTACTAAAAATACAAAAAATTAGCCAGGCATGGTGGCAGGCACCTGTAGTCCCAGCTACTCGGGAGGCTGTTCTCCCTTCATGGAAATTTAAAGAAAATAAAAGGTTTAATCGTTGTACGGTTTCCATGGGGTCGTATTGTAATTGTCGGTTGCGTTTTGCTTTTTTTGTGGAACAGGAGTCGTCGCTTGTCTGCCGAGGCTGAGCGGCAGTGCGCGGAAGTCTCAGTCCACGCAAGGCTCCGCTTCCGGGTTTGACGCCATTCTCGCGCCTCAGCCTCCCAGGAGTAGCTGGGGGACTAGCAGGCGCGCCACCGACCTGCGCCCGGTTAGGGTTTTTTATTTTTTGAATACAGCGGGTGGTTCCAC